GATCCATACCAATAATGCCGGTGGTCACATCTGCCACTATGAAAACCCAACGAAAGGGACGACGCAATCCAAGGTTGAGATCGAGGAATCTCCGACCATAGGTTGTGATGGGCGAACCGTTGGCGGCACGAAGTTGCAGAGACATTGGCCGCAGACGCTCTTCCTTCGTAGGTGGGATGACGCTAGCTTCTGCCCCAGTGTCAACTAGGAAGCGTATCCCAGAATGTCGATCAGTGACGAAGAAGAGGCGACATGGAAGTGGCTCGCCAGCGACGTTAGTCGCCGTCACGTGCTGGCTCACACGTTTCCCGCCTGGTTAGCCTCGAAGGTGCAAGGTCGAGTGCACTTTTGGCATTGGCACCATAACGTTTATGGTACCAGCACAACCTGGGTTGGGATTGTCGCGATTTGGAACGTCTGCTACCGGTACGGGAGGCAGACCTGTTGCGCGAGCGAGACGTGCGACCTTTGTAAGAACTACCAGACCGCATTTCGTTCCTGATGCTGCACAACTCTCATACAATTTTGAGATGTGAGTTATAACATCGAAACTTGTTGGCTCAACAGCCGAGGGAGGGTGTTTTTGACGAATCCGTGGCAGTAGACAGTGCAGCTGAGATACTAGTGTTGGGTTTCGTAGCATCCACAGCTCTGTCAGCCGCTTCCGCCAACTCTATTAAGGGACACTTATGGAAGGGTGCGAGGATCCCTTGAACCGACTGTGGTAACCTCTGTAACCACAGTTGCTTGAGAAATGCTTCATCAATGTTGAAGTCAGCAATCAGCTGCTTCATCTGACGAAGCAGTTGCGTCGGCTTGCGATCACCCAGATGCACATCCCTGAAAAGTTCTTGCACTTTCTGCTGGTCAGTAAGTGCAACACGTTTGATGAGGGCGGTTTTGAGGCGATCGTAAAGATTCGGTGCTGGGTCATCTAGCACATCTGAGACGTCTTCAATCACATTTTCCGGTAAGCTGACGATGACTAAGTTGGACTTAGTTTCTTGTGATTGAATGTGTCTCAAGGCAAACTGAGCTTCCACATGGGAGAACCATGCAGATGGTCTGTGGGCCCAGAAGGTGGGAAGCTGGAGGGTTACGGCCATCTGCGCAGTCGAGTCGTTATCCGCCATTGATCAGGGAATTAACGAGGCACGATAGTGATAAAAAAAATTACAATGCAAAAATAACCAATGAGGAGTGCAATAATAAAAAAAAAAACGCTAGACGTGCCAAAAACAAAATTAGGCCAGACAAATCAACGCAAGAGAACAAAGGTACTAGACAAATAAGAAGTGATACTCGGGCTCACCAATTTTGTAGGGATGCGTGTTACAATTCCGTAACGTTTGATCAACCCTACTTAATTTGATGTGCTCTAGTACCTGCTTAACCAGTACTTTACCTAACGTGTAAGTACTGGTAACAAAACACAAATCAAAAGAACTGATACGCAATGTATTTAAAGGAGCTATGTATTTAAGGTAAATGTTATAATAATGAATGAGGGAAAAGTTTAATCAACTTATCTGGCTTGTAAGGCTGAACTAGGGACTCGGAGTACGTGCGTGGTGATCAGCACAATGGAGCGCAAAAATGGCGTCCAAGCCTGCTCGGATGCATGCTCGTTAAAACAAAACTTAAAACACCCTAAGCATCCGGAGGCAAGCTAGAGATTTATTTAGTTAATTTAATTTAAACTATTTATTTTAGCCCTAGTTATATTTTGGTGCCAGGAAGGTGCACTACAGTTGCATCTAGGATTTTGACAATCAGGTGAATTTGTTGTGGAACGTTTCAGAGACGTGAAAGTCAATAGGGGAAGAGCTGAAGGATTTTTTTGATAATTTCTTGTGTCAAGCTTGAAGTAATGTATTCAGTAAGTCGACAACTTCGGTAAAAAATATGCTCAAAATTTTCTCTTCAAACTGAAGCTGAAAAGAGAGGAGGAAAAGGAAGGCGCGAGCAGAAATCAGAGAGTGAAACACCACGCAAGACGAAATTGGGAAGAGAAAAGTCCCTATTTGTCTTCTCAGTGACACTCGAGCCATATGTACACTTTAATTTATGAATGTATAAATAACTCTTATGATTTTCCTACGTACGGTTTGTAGACGTTTATGGATATACCGTGTTTATTTGCAGATGTACGGGTAAAACTGACTGTGCATCAAGGTGATATGTTCTGTACTAATGTATACTTCACTGACCATTCAACCTAAGCTAGTTGAGTATCGGTCAAACGCGCTGTGCAATAATGTTTGTGTCCATCAAGGAAAAAGTATTGGGATCGGTGATAGGTTTGATTTACACTTTCAGGGGTCCCAGTATGTTTTCGTTAGCCCAGAACGTGCATAAAGTGACCAAGCGAGTGATAGGCTCATCATCGGTGAGCAACTTATTAAGTGAAGAGCGAGAGACAAATAACGAACCTGCAGCTGGTGTTTCTTCAGGAAGTCTATTTCAGACGTGAGAGAACTTATTGAAGAAGAAATTGCCTCACACATTGGTCTTACAACACTATCGATAAGGCTGGACTGCACGAGAATATTGGTGGTGGCACTCGCTTGGGTTTGGGTGGAAAACCGTCCAAATTGGACCACATTTTTACTAGTGACCACCTGCTGGTGGAAAATGTACAGCTTCAAAGCCTCCTTGGTAGCAGCAGCCACGGCATGGTAGAGGTCGATCTGGTACTGAACGAACAAACATCATGGGAAGGATCTCGCCTTTGTCTTTGCTGCAGCAAGGCAAACTACGTGGCGATGAGCCAATGCCTGTCTACAGCACCGTGGCCTCAGGGGCGGAGCAGCCTGCCGGTGATCAACGTTGGGAACTAGTCTGAGATATCACCAAGAGGGCAATCTCTGGAAACGTCCTGTAATCACTGCAATACCGAGGAAGCGAACCTCATGGCTAAAGCGAGGCACTGAAAGCCTTTTTAAAACCAGGACGAAAGCATGGCATAAGTGGAGGACCTCCAGAAAAGAGTCTGACCACACCGCGCATATGGCCTCGAAAAATCGATGTAACGTCAGTGTGAGGGGAGACAGGAGGTCATTCTAGACGAACCTTGCCCAGAAGCTCGAGGCGACCCTCGAAAACCTATGTCGATACATGACAGACAGAAACTCCATCAGCCAGGGGGCTTGTGCCCCGGAGGGCCTGGACAAAGAGAACCTATCCGAACTACAGAGAGCCGAAGCCTTTGGCGTGACCTTCGATACGCAGCAGAATACATCTCTGTCAAACCGAAAGTACCACCTACCCGAACAACATTCGGCACCACCGGATGCAGCAGAGTTGCCCGGAATAAATGTGACTCCTGCCATGGTCCTCGAAAAGCTATCGAAGTTCGTCGCAGCGAAGTCGAAAGGACGAAACGAAGTTCAGCCACCAGTGTTGAAAAAACGTGCGGGTGCCTTGTGCCATCCACTGTGTAATGTTTCAACACTCCTTAGACAATCACATACTTCCACGAGAGTGGGAACGTGCTATTCTGTCCCCCATCTCCAAAGGAAGAGACAGGTGGAACCCAGAATGGTATCTACCCACAGCCCTCCTACCATTGGTGTCAAAGGTAAAGGAGAGCTTGGCGGACGATCATGTCAGAGAGTACTTGGAAAGGAGGGGAGTGCTAAGTGATGCTCAACATGGCTTCAGAAAGGGTAGGTCCCGTGCCTTGAACATTCTGGTGGCAGGTGATAAGCGGACGGCATGCTGGGACCTCCAACGTCCCGTCCATATTATTTTCCTGGTTTTGCTAAGGTCTTCTATACAGTCTCATGTGCCATTCTTATTCACAAAATAGCAAGGTTGGGCATCGAGGGACAAGAATAAGTGCTTTCACAATGACAGGACTATCTAGACGGTAGACAATTCTGCATTAAAGCCAACAAAGTTTGTTCGACTTAGAGGACGTCATCATCTGGTGTATCACAGGAACCAATCTTGGGTCCGCTGCTATTCCCTTTTTTTGTACATGACCTCTCACTGAATTTCAGCTCCCCAATTCTCCTTCACACTGATGATGTTAAATTGTGGAGAGCTATGATGTAAACAGAATCAAGTGCACTGCAAAGTGACCTCAGATTGCTTGCAGAGTGGGTGGATATTAACGGACTAGCACTTAATCTAGGTAGGTGCAGAACCATGTTTTTCTGTACCCCAGACTATCAGAAGGTACCCTATTCTCTCTGTGGAACACAAATTTCCCACGCCACTACAGAGAAGGACCAAGGACTAATGCTGACTGACAAACTAGACGCTAGCTCCGATTATCCAGGAGATACCTTCAGAGCCTACACAGTACTGCACTTCATGTGCAGACAACTGGGTGCCCTGACACCGGAACTCTTTTTGAAGCTGTGCAAGACCTACATACGACCTATATATATATATATATATATATATATATATATATATATATATATATATATATATATATGTATAGGTCCACAACGTCACTGCACCATCATGTCTGAAAAGCAACGTGAACCTCCCACAGAAAGTCCAAAGTAATTGCTATATTCCCATTCTTCCTTTAGTGTTATTTACTCATCTTTCTACTGGCTTTACGTCTCCTTTTTCGTAATCGTCTTTTCTTTCTCCTTTTCTTTTCTTCTATTTGTTTTTCTTTGCACTTTCTCCCCACTGATTTCTCTGGACGTGTTTTCCACCTCCTTTTCACAGCCAGTCCGACCAGTCGTCTGCTGGTACGACACTTGAGGAGTCTACCTGCACTGCAGTCTTTGGGAGAAAAGCAAACAAACAAAAACACTCGCTACAAATTTAACAAACACCCACCCACCTGTCAGGTTAACCTGAGCTACAGCAGTCGAGTGGGTAGACACACTGCATCGGAATCCACCAAAGACCTGAAACTGTCCTGCGCGACCTAGAAGCAAGCGTGAAGAAATCAATTGGCTTATGTTAGCTGGCAAAAAGATATTGGATATTGAATGTTGGACTCACCCTTTAGGGAAGAGCGCTGAGTATGGTTCACTTCGCGTTTGCATTGTTAAAATTTTTCCTCCAGTCCTGTTTATTTCCTCTTAGGTTTTTACGTTACCTATCCATATAATCCCTTATATAGAGTCATCTTACTTGGCTCTTTCACCAGAAGAGATTTTCACACTTGGCCGTTCACAGATACACGTTCTAACTGCAAAAAATGTTTGGACGTATTTTGACCAACAGTAAAGTGAATGGTTTTGAAAATTTTTGTTAAGATCTCTTATAACGATCAAGTCAGTTTCACTAATGGAGCGATTTCACCAGGTATCAAGTCTAGACGTATGTAATTAACTGGATACTTTAAAATTCGTGAATGACCCTATGGCTAAGTATAGGAGGAGATATTTACTTATATCAGTGTTTCTCAATATTGTGACTTCCTTGATCTAATTTGCTTCATATTTGATTCACGTATATATATATATATATATCATGGTGTTATTTCTGCTGTTGTAGTTAGTTCTAGTTGAGGCCACGCACAATCCGCCGATCTGTTTCTAAACACCATTTATCGCATAAGTTTTAGTCATACCTAAAGAAATGCAACTAGATTGCTCTGGACGTACAAGAAACAAGCGTGATGGAGTAATATTTCTCTTAATTATGGTTTCACATATTTTAGTGCTTATTGTTTAGCATTTTTCATAACTGATGCCAATCAGTACGCATGAAACTAGTTCCGTTTTCATCAACCAACGCCTCTCATATGGATAGTTTTTCTCTTATATCATCAGTTAAAAGAGTGAAGGCCTTTCCATGACTTTGTATCGATCGGACGTTTTACATTCCACGCCAGGATAGCGAAAAGGCTGATAAAAGGGAAGGCAGATAAAAATAATGACACCGTTTTCCTTTTGTGTTTGTACGCATCGCTGCGAAATTTTGAAACATAGAATTACTAAAAATTAACCATTCACCTATAAATACCATTGTTTATCACTTGGTAGTGCTAATGAAATATGTGTACATAAGTTAAAGGGGGAATCCTAAATTATGTAAAATAAGCTATTGACAACTAAGAATATTTCTCTGACTGCCGCGATGTTTTGCAAATTTCTTCTTAAAACATTTGGGCCTATCACAGCAGTGCAGGCTTCTGTCTATCAACCTTTAAATTACGTTCTTGATCCACACTCCACCAAATTAGTCTAAGATTTTACACAGTGATTGTATCTGACTTCAGTGCATTAAGGTGCGCCAGATTTCTAAGTTACATTGTTTTGTTGGGGTAAGTCAGTAACTGGATCGATCCTGTGAGGTGATATTTTGTATAGACTGCTTAGAACCGGTCAACCAAGGTTGCCCTACTTTCATTCAGCATCTCTCGCGCAATCCTATGACAATGCACTGCTCGTTGCCTATGATTTGGCGGCACCGTATTTTTTCAAATTTGGATGTTTTGGTTTCAGTTACTACAGCGGGCTAGTGCAAACTGTGATCGGTCGTCAAAGACTAAAATGATCCATTTGTCTGACGGTTCACTGACGTTGACATGAATTTTTATGCACCAATTACATTGTCATGATTTCTACTACCTCCTGTATATTCTTCCCCAGTGATCCTGGAAACAGATAGATAGTAATGAAACCCAAAAACCTATTTGGGAACTAAGGCTAATGTTTTTAAAAATGAAGTGTAAATAATTTTAGCAATGACGTTCAATTCAGAACTTTTTTGTATTATTATGGTTATACAACCGCATAATTTATTTAATCGTCTACCCATTTTCCTAAAATTGTAGATCTTAAACTCAGTATGTCTGAGAAAAAGCGGAAACGGTTGAATGGTGACAGGTTTGATGAAGATCCCTCAAAACCTACACCGGAAGAAAGTAGTGTTGCAAATTACCTACATAAAAAACTGCCGTCAAAAGAAGGGCGCCTTTTTGGCATGATTGTTCGCGTATTTGTGGCAATGGAAGCCATTGAATTGCTGATGGAGTCACCTTGGGCTAGACCAAATAACGGCTCAAAGCCGTATCTTTTCACAAGTCAAACTGAAGCAGTGAACTTTATGGCTACTATGTTTCAGAAGCAAATGTTTCAACGGTACTTTGTTACTTATTCGTTTATGATCTACGTTTCAGTGCAGTTCGTGTAAAGAAGAAACCTTCTAAGCATCGTGAAGACGCGAAAGCATCCAAGACAAAGGTGAAGAAACTGGTTGATGGAAAGTCCATCCCTAATAAGTGGGTTACTGAATCAACTGCAGATGAAAGTGTGCGTGTTCTTTTCGTTTGATATATTGCTTATTTTTATCCTTTATGATATATATATATATATATATATATATATATATATATATATATATATATATATATATATATATATATATATATATATAATGTGAAGGTTAATGCATTAGACAAGTCACAAATGTAAGGGCTCAATTGTTAGTTACTAAGTGGACGTTGTCGTTAGACTCGGATATAACAAGGACATGACGTGTGGTGTGCTGGTTAGAAAAATTGTTTATTGAGGTCCTATCATGCCAGAAATGTCTGTTGGATGGTAACAAGACTAAACTCAGTCTGGGTTGTAGTGCAAATCATTTACGCTATGATGGGATTTAAGGGCAAAAGTCGTACTGGTAGTTGTATGTGATGTGACAGGAGTAGGATGTTTCTCGCAAACGACCAGCATTTCATTCAGAAACTACACTTCTTCGTCAGGAGGGGAAGTGAGAAAAAATCGACCTTGAAAGTAATCCACTTCTCTCTCTTTGGTCTTCTGGTTCCGGTGGCATGGAGTTTTATAGCTCATATGTAACACCAACCTAAATCCTTAGCCTCCAAAAAGACCATGTGTGCTTGACCTAAAGTAGAGGATCCTTGGGTGCTAGTATATGGCACAACTATTACTAGTCTCATTTCTTTTTTAGACACTACGAAAAAGTAACCTTCCACAGTATGGGCAGCCAGAAAGTATCAACCAACCTCAATTCCCTTCTAATCTCCACCAACCCTCCATATCTTAACTTGATCTTTCTTCACATCTTTCTGTTAACACTGTCGTATCATCCTCAGTCTTCTCACTTCTACAATCTTTAATAACAACTAAGGGTTCCTAATCTCCTAAAGCATCAATCCAAACAACTTATCGGAGCTTTTAATGGCCACGTGTTCATGGCCTGTGCTAGAGATGTCCTACTCATTGCCTTCAAGTAGCGTAGGTGTTTCCTCAAAGGTTAGGGGGTGAGAAAATGTCTGGTGCTAATAACCTAATCAATGGACGTGCAAGGTTCACCTGGATTAGTTGAAAAATGGTTTTTCTAACCTAGAAATTCTCATGGACTTCAAGATTCAGAACAAAAAATAGTTAACAAACCTTCCTTGGTCACAAGTAAACGTGGGAATACAATATCTCACGTTGATACGCTCCCTTATGGATTAGACTTCAAGCAGAAGACTATAGTCGTACTGTATGACAGCCACTTACTTTTATCTAGGCTTCTTGGTAATATCACCACCCATATACAAATAATGAAATCATACTGCAGCAGAATATTCTTGTCCATTACGCTATTTTTACAAGCATTTACATTTGTCATAAGTCAAACAACCATCAATTTGTTATTTTATCTTCTTTACTTCAACATATAAAGTATACTACTTTTTCGTTACCACTTTCAGTTTTGTTTGTATTTACATTTTTGTTTCACCCAGTTACCTGTCATCAACTAAAATTCTCGTCTCTGCACTATCTTGAGTTGCCAAAAAAATGCTTCTACAAAGTGGGATGTCTGACGCAACTATTGTGAGACTACGTACTGTTTAAACCAGCTGCTTTCCACCTTCATGTGTTGATTCCTACTGCTTAACAGACATACTGAATTGCAACTATAGAAAACGTTTTTATCGGTGTGTTATATTTTAGGGACTCGCGTACACGACCGTAATGTAGTACTTCAAATAAGCTCCTTATCTGTCAGCTCAGGAAGAGTGTTTACTGCGTGCTTGTCATCGGACGTTATGACACCAGAGTCTGGCCTTGTTGGTGTTAGTGTCGCGCTAAGTATCTGAGATGAAGCTACATCAGTGGACTGGATCCCTATCAACAGTCGTTTGTGTACCGTTGGGTTATAAGGTCCGGTTAGAGTAGAAAGTAACTTACAAGGAAGACGATGGCCCTCCAACTGACTGCAGCCAGGGTTCTGTTGAGGAGGAATTTCACCATCAGTTGAATAAACCCAGGCTCCCTAGATGGATATCGTAGTACTAATTGCGGACATAAATGCGCAGACTGCGAGTTTCTTAAGTCATCCGAAACAGACCAACGTAAACAAATTGGTTGCTCGTAGTACCGCAGCAAAGTATAGGATCAAGCTAGATCCCAGACTAGCTGTTCAAACCTCCAGAAAGTATAGGCAAGCATTGGCTGCACCTACAGAACACCATAAAAGTTTCGAGTAAGGCTCCTTGTGACTTCAAAGAAACAAACTGACAAAGTCAACACAAGACCCGGCATTATTACGCAGTGGTCTAAGTTGCAACACCTCTTGTCAACACATCAAGTGAGAAAGCACTGAAATGAAAGATAAAGAAGGAAGCAGTCAACAATGGTAAAGAGTAGTAAAGATGAGGAAAGTTGGAGTAAGAAAATATATAGTCCAGTATGATGATTAAAATGAGAATGATGTGCCCAGAAGACTAAATTTGTCAGAGTCTTCGCCTAACAGGAATATGTCATGCGCGTACCCTGGATCTATCAAGAATTCTCCTTTGACAAGACCAATCCCTGTAAAGTCAGACACCGAGGGGGAGACTTCCATATGTTAGTTCATGGTAAAGTTTCATAACACTAGAGAGAGCTGACGCCACTGGATGTACTTAACGTAGGCTCTCGCACGCTCGCAGATGTTGGAGTACTGATCCTTCGACATAGTCGTACTTACTTGGTGCACCTTTCAGTGAGGCACTGCCATTAGAACTCTTGATCGGCCTAGTTGAGTGCCACCGGGTCAAGAAATACAGCCAATATCAGGTGTTGGTAGGTGCACGTGTGCTCTAGAACCTGGCAGAGAGTAAATATCTGATTGGTACACCTACGGCCAGGTCTGAAATCTAACTGGTTTTCTCGAGTTGTCTGTTCCTAAGCTCCACTAAGACTTTTGAAAATTATAGAACCTAGAATATTGAATACTATGTTCGTCGGGCTGATTCTCCTGGGGTTATCTCAAGAAGATTTCTCTACTTTCCTGAAGATTGAGACAATCAGTGACTGAGAGTAGTTAGAGGGGATCATTTCTGACTCCTAAATGCAGGCTAGCACTTCAGTAAGTCTGGCCACCGTTCTTAAATACCTTTGTCCTACTGCTCTTCCTCGTTTCGAATCACTTATAACTCCATCGAATTCCGTAAATGTTGGGATTCGTATCTCAATCTTCTATTCGGGATCTTAATACCGGACAACGGGCTAGTCGAAGTGTTAAACCCATCATCCCAGTTACCTCCCCTTGTTAGTGAATTACAGATCCATCCTTCTCCACTATAGTCTCATTGACTACTGAACGTTTTGCCCCAGATTCCTTGGTAAATATAAATAACTGTCTACTGTCACCTATCGCCACTATCTTTTCTATCTCATTAGCCTTCACTACCCAGAAATGTTCATAGCCGTTGCTCCATATGTCTTCTGAATGGTTAGTGTTGTTCTCTTCCGAAAAATTTCTGGCCAGTTTGTCGCTGAAAACAACCTCAGTTTTTCAATGTTAAGCTGCATTTGAGATAATCTTGTCGCTATAGTTTTTCTAGGTTCGTTTACGGGAACTTACACGTATGGTCGCTGTTCCAACACATGCTTCAAAAGCTGAGATAACCGTCTTTCCGCCCTTCCGCGATAACACAGCAATACGATCTATCTGTGTCTACCACTGAGTTGAGGTCAGTGGGGGGGGGGGTGACACCACGCCAGACTATGCCTGCCTTCATGTCTGAAGTACGTACTGGCCAGAAAAAGATGGCCGTCGGAACACAGTTGTAGCAGACGATCGCCACCCTATAGTCGCTCGCCTGTGATTGCAAAAGTGCAGTCTGAATGCCTTGTGCATTGAAATCACCCTCAGCGGTAACCCCATATCTGTGCCTTTGGCGTTCAGCAAGAGGCTTTGTAGTCTCGAATAGAAATCATCCTTCATTTCATCCAAACTGTTGTCAGTGAATGCGTAACCAGAGATCAAAGAGACAAAACGATTAGTTTCACTATTTTTTGGCTCCCACTACACCACTCGGTCGAACACAGCGCAGACGGCTGACAACTAGGATTCAGTCGAGCAGTGGACTTTCTGCCTTAGAACTTAACGCCGTATCCTACACGTACACGAACATTGGAAGTAGCCATTGCTGGTCATCCATTGGAAACAACTTTACTGCTGTCACATCCTATCCAATCAGCGTACGACTTCGCCCTCAGACCCCTGCAGTAGCATAACAATTTGAATGACAAAATCAACGAAGAACCCCGCACGCACGAGGATCGCTTCAAGTTGCCTTAGTTCACAGTAGTAAACAAAGAACAGGTGGGTTGAAAAAGACTGATACCAAAATAGACAAAGTCGTGAGAAAATAAACAATCGAAAGATAACGGATAGTGCAAAGATTCAAGCTTTAAAAGATATCAAGCGTTGAATACATCACTACTGCGACAGACTTCCAGTCATCTCACCAAGAGTCCTCAACCGCTGATTCCTTGAGTCTAGGGGCCCCTACTTAGCAGTTTACATCTCTTCACACGGCTCAGGCCAAAGATCAGAGACTTCACCGACTGGTGCCACGTCTTGGTCAAACCACCCCGAACCCTCTTCCAACCTAATCCATCTTCCCTAGCATGGCACGTCGTGGTAGACGGTGTGTGGCTCGGCATGCGCAGTACATGTCCAAGCAATCTCAGCCGATGAAGGTCCACAACCACATCATTTGACTCTCTTGTCTTGCCTAGTATCATTCTACTGACTTCGACATTTCTCACACGGCAATTCCGCCAAACGCCAAGCAGTACAACGAAGACGCCTCCGATCAAATACCCGTAACTACTTCAAAATGTCTTCTTTCAACGGCCATATCTCAGCCAAACTCCAGCGCAGTACATTCATCCTTTCATAGATAGTAGGATATCCCGCTGGCGCTGCAGGTGACTCAAGTTGACAAATGCCAAATGTGCATTGCGTATCCTAATTGAGATTTCTTCAGCAACTAGCCCGTTCTGGCTGGTGCAACTCTCCA